AAAGCCCACTCTCTCTTCACTCCCATCACCGACAAAGGGTTAGGGGTTGGCCTATTAACCACAAAGTTGGCAGTTCAGACCCATCAGCCGCTCCTCGGGAGAAGGGCGAGGCTGCCTGCTCTCATCAAGCTGTGCAGTCCGGAGGTATACCACCAGTGAGCAGCACACTGAAGGGAACAGCTCCCGGCTCAGCGGCCAACCAGAGGGCCATTCGACCTTCGGACCCACCCAGCATCAATTCAATGGCAGCACCTCCCCTCACCACGTGTGTGTGTGTGTGTGTGTGTGTGTGTGAGAGAGAGAGGGAGATGTTCCTCAGTTAAAAGGCAAGGAAAACCAAAATCCCCATGTATCAGCAGCTTACTGGAAATCCCGCCTAATAAAGATCTGGAACACACAGAAAGCTCTGTGTGTGCGTGAGCCTTTTTCAGACTTCCCTGTGACAGAAAGGAGAGCGAATGAGTGGATTATCATGGGGTTAAAATTAGGTTTGTGTAAACTATGGCCTAGACAAAGTCTTCCATGGTTCCGCTGTGGAAAGACATTTCCACTATCCTGGTAATTTACTCTACACTGAGCAGACTTCGGGAAGGAGAGTGTGAGACAGCCGAGTCTCCATTTTCCATAGAAGTCAAGTCAATAGATGATATCTAGATTTCAAAAATTAAAAAGAACGGAGGGGTGGGAGCAGTTTAAAGAATCTTGCTTAGAAATAGAGAAGCCAACCTCAGAGGAAATCGCTAAGCGTTGAAAGTGGTTGCCATAGAGATGAGGAGTGAGCGAGCACTTGCTCTTTTCCTGACAAGCCTAATAATACCGTGTGACTTTCTGAACTTCGCACATGTTATTACTTTGATAAAAGTGGAAAAGAAAAACAAACAAACAAAGAATTTGGCAATGCTCATGGGTGATAGCTACACCACATGATTAATGTAATTGCTATCGCTAAATTGTACTCATGAAAAATGTTGAATTGGCAAATACACACACACACACACACATTTATACATTTTTTCCTATAACAATTTAAGAAAAAGTTTCTATTCCAGGTAAACAAAAGCAAACAACCCTAAAACTACAGAATGAGAAAACATCGCTTCCTGGGCTAGGTCAAACCAAGACAATACAGAAGTTGTACAAAAGAGGGGGCTGTAGAAAGTTTGTGGGAAACAAGCCAAACATACATTATCATTTGATTACATTTTCTCCATGACATTTCGGAGGCCCCTATCACATATGTGTAATGAGTTCAGCCGCATGGAAGCACGTGCCCAGGCCTGAGAACACGGTCAAGAGAAGGACAGTCCTGTCCCCAAGACCACAGGAACCAGGTTGGACTTCCGAACTACTGGTGTCAGAGCACAGAACCGAGTCCTGCCAGGGCCGGCCTGCAGCTCCAGCAGGGCTCTGTGTGGCTCCATGTGGGCTGTGTCACCCTCTCCTCTCCTGAAAGGACATCCCAGACACCAAGGAGGCCAGGGCCACGCAAAGAAGTAGGCCAAGAACCACCACCACGTGAAGTAGGCCAAGAACCACCACCACGTGCCACGTGCCTTTCTCGCTGTTACCAGCGCTCAAGCAGGGTGATCTTGAGCACACGGTAATACCACGCGCCCTGGTGTCTGGGGGCCTCCCAGGCACACACACCACAACTTCAGGGGGCTGGTGGATGATTGAGGGGCCAGAGCGTGGCGTACGCTCAGACTCTCCTTCGACTCCGGTCTCCATGCCCCTGCCCTAGACACCACTCCTCCTCGCCCATGCAGCTCCAGCCAGTCAGGCTGCCTGGTTCAACTCCCGGCTCTGGAACTTATTAGCTAAGTGACTGACTGCCAGAGAAAGCATACAGCCCCTGCGGCCTCATTTCTTCAGGAAAGCGAGGATGGGGGCAGGCCCTACCTCACAGGGTGCAGGAAGGGCTTAACCCAGCACCGGAGAAGTGCTTCAGAAGACAGCTATAACTTCTGCTCCCTGAGCCGACTACTGCAGCCTGGGAATTTCTGAAACAAGCACACTCCTGCGCTCCTTCGGGATGAAGATGGGGGGGCCCTGGAAAGCACTGCATCTTTTAAGGCCCACTCTAACCCCCAGCTTCTTCCAAAACCCTCAGGTCACCTCTGTCCTTGGGTGTCTGTTTTCCCACCCCCTCGACACCCCTCATCTGCTCTGTTGCCTCTGTGAGAACTCACTTCTGAATGATACTCCTTGTTCGTGTGCCATCTCCCTAACTAGATGGCAAGCCCCTAAAGCTTGGTTTATGCACCTCTGGGCCCCTGCCCTCCACCCCTCACATAACCCAGGCGCTTGGCAGGCAGGCGGTGCATGTGTGCTTGCTTGCCTGCTTGTTCGGGCCCTTCCCAGAAGCCCTTGCCTCAGCACAGAGCGCTGCATGGTGTCAGGAGCAGAGCGCGAAGACGATGACGGTGACAGGGGTGGGGGTGGGGAGGTGGGGGCGCAGCAGCTTGAAGTGAGCTCTGGACAAAGAGCTAGTGGCGGGTGCCCCTACTGATGAGTGTGCGGAACCCTGAGGGGCAGTTCTCTGACCTGGGCCGTCCCTGTGAGCTGAACATTGACTTCCCGGTATCCGACAACAACAGTGAGGGGCTCAGAGCTAGCCTGGGGGAGCACACCGTGCCCCACCCTCTAGATACGATGTCAGCACCATGCACCTCCAGGAACCTCCTGCTCAAGAGACCACCAGGAAGAGGAGGCCCCTGTGCCCCACAGGGAAAAAGCAAGCCTCTGTTTTCTCCTAACAAAGACGGGGCTGGACCAGACCACTGCTTTCCCCGCCAGCCTAGCTCTAAGTAAGATTTCAGGGGAGCAGAGGAGCCAAGTTTATAAACAGTGGCTGATGGCTGGTGCCGGCGGTACCTTCCGCCCTGTCACTGATGGCTGGGTTGGCCAGAGGGCAGCTGAGTGGCTTCAGTCTGCCCTGCCCACCCCCCACTGGGCCACCCTAGGTTGTTTGTGTTTTTATTTTCACCCCGGTTTTATAAGGGCTGTTGGCTCCCCAAGCCCCAGACACAAGAGGCAGAAGAGAGACAGCTGGCCCGGCCAGCAGAGTCCCTGGCTGCCAAGCCCCAATGAGGCGTCTGTCCTCTGGGTCTTTTTGTCCTTCTCAAGGAAATAGCCATCAGAAGGGAGGTGTGGGGACAAGACAGGGACTTGACTTGCTTCACGTTAAATCCTTTCTGCTGAAAACATCAGCCTGATTTCTCTGGGGAGGGGCGGAGATGGGGGGGCGGCGGAGGCTGATTGGGGGCAGGTTAGGTTCCCCAGGGAGCTTTCCACCAGCACTGGAACAGGGGTGACACTAACCAAAGGCTGCCTGACTGGCCTGCTGGCCACCAGCAATAGCCTGCCCATTCCCACTCCCGAGACTCGGCCTCTGCCCAGAGCGCCTTCGCTTCTTTGGCTCAGGCTTCCAGCCAGCAAAGGGGGGCGTTGGGCCAGGTGCTGCAGTCTGCTGAATAGTGCACCCCCACCCCCAAAAAACACATGTCCACCCAGAACTCCTGAGGGAGACCTTATTCAGAAAAAGGGTCGTGTCGAGGTATGTGAGGTCCCCCATTCTCCGGGTGGTAAGTTTTCTTACGAGAAAAAGCACAGCACAGAAGAGTGAGGCAGAGGTCTCAGGCAAGACTCTCCATTGAGCCTGCAGAGAGCACAGCCCTGGTCGAGACTGCATGCCTAGACGGTTGGGGGTTCAAACCCACCCAGCTGTACCACAGAAGAAGAGCCCAGAGAGCCGCTTCTGGACAGATGGAGGCTGGGCCGCCCTGAGTCAGATCCCCTGACGACTGGGCTTTGGTTTGGGTCTGGCCCCGTTCCAGGCGCTTGGTGACAGCAGCTACTGGCATTTGGCGTTTAACAGGAGTGCCAAGCTCACCCCCAGGAGACCGCAACTCACCTGACTACTGTACACCTGGGTGGTCTAGCCGGAACCGATTACCCCAACACCACTGCCCTGGAGCCAATTCTGACCCGCAGGGTAGGAGAGGATTCCCAACTAGGGTTTCCACGGCAGTACACCTTCACAAAACAGCCATTTTCTCCCAAGGAGCGGCTGGTGGTTTTGAACCACATACGTTTGGTTTGCAGCCAAGTGCTTTAACCACTAGGCCACCAGGGCTCCTTGAACTAAACACAGCCA